GATGTCTTCACAATCCTTAGACTACCATGAAAGCTATTTTAGTAAAAAAAACACAAAAAATGAAAAAAATGGGTATGGATGAGGTTTTGAAAAGTTTGAAGTTTATTTCTAATAATCCAAAAAATTAAGGTATATTTTTTATAATTTCTCCTAAATCTTTTATAATCTTATATTTCCGTCCATACTAATAAAAGCCTCTCTTTCATTCTTTCTATGTTCTAGTCCCTAAAATCTTTCTAAACAAAACTATCTTTAAAATGGATCAGTATGCATATGGACACAATAATGGGGAAGTGTGTTTTCCTAAATCTAAATTTGTATCTAAAGAGATTTGTTTCAATATCCTGAGTCAAATGAAGAGATTGAGGAAGATGTCATGCATAAAACTACAAGTAGGTAGACGAAGTGGAGAAGTTCTTCTAGATGAGATGGATATGTGGCATGATAAGAAATGATAGAATTAAGAATAAATACATCGAAGAGAACTTAGAGGTGTTAGCGAAAGTTGACTTTCGGGGTCTGGTCATGTGCAACATTGGCCTAGATTAGAACCGAATAGGATGGATGATTTGGTTTCAGTAGAAGACAGTAACTTATCTTATGACTAATGGTATGACTTTTGATAGAGTGGAATGACAAAAGAGGATTTATGTAGCCGACTCTAATTAGTTGGGATACGGTTCAGATGATGATGATTTGTTTGAAAAACTCAATGATAAAGTTTCCAAAAAAAAAAAAGACAGAAAGTGGGATCTGTCTCTGCTTAAAAAATCTTTAGTACATTTTATCCAATGCTTGATTTAATAAAAAATTCTAATTATATGCTAATTATGCCACATTCCAACTTTATAACTCAGCCCTTCAATACATGGATTTATGAATTTAAAAAGGAAAGAAAAAAATATAAAAAAATACATTATAATACTTCATACAATGACTATCCTCATTAATCTAACAATTTACACTTATGATCCTATGATACCCAAGCAATAGAGATTAGTATGGCCCGCCGTCCATAAGAACATTTACTACTGGGGTGGGGGGGGGGGGATTCAAGTATTCGAACAACTGACCTTCCTCGTCCAAATTGATAAATCCATCACTAAGATTAAACCCAAATGTACGAGCATTGATGGGTTCAGCATAAAACAAAATGTGATATACATTTTAGGCCGTGCCAAAGTACAAGTAGTTGATCGAGTGCTTCAATTATTTTGACAATGTCACGGGATTTCAGATGAATATTTGAAAAGTAAGTGACACTTTAGAAGGCACCTTAAAATTGATACTAAATATGAAAAGGAATTGTCTACGGTGACTATTTATGTTTTATACATGAATGTGACAATCATTCTCACTCATTAGATTTCAAATTGGATGGCTTGGGGTGAGTCACAAAGTCCGAGAATCTTTTTTTTTTTTAACCTTATCTATGTTCAACAACATTCTTACAACGACCCATTTTGAAATTTAAGGAACAATAACGATTGTAGCCTCAAATACAAAAGATAAATGGTCTCTTTGTAGACAATCTCATATGAAAAATAATAAAAGTAAGTGTAATAACTATACTAATACCAACAGCTCCCCAAAAAAAAAAACAAATATATATATCTCCCAACACCTATAGGAAAAAATGAACAGTGATTTCATCTACCCTCATCACATCCAAACTTCACCTCATAGCCACAGTTGTCCGGTAGTGTTTCAATTTTTTATTTTTTTATACAAATCCAAATTACTTGATATTTAAAGCTTGTGTACATCTTAGTGAGGTACACCTAATAAAAATATGAAAAGGATAATTCGTAAAATATAAATAGATCAAAATACCCCCGAAAATTTACAGGCGTATTTTGGTCAATTTATATTTTTTGAATTATTTTTTTCGTATTTTTATTAGGTGCACCTCACTAAGATGTATACACTCTCTAAATTTCAGATCATTCTTATTAGTAAAAAAAAAAATGAAAATTTAAACAATACCAGACAACGGTGACCGTACGATGAAGTTTGGATGGTGATGAGGATAGGTGAAATT